GCGGCCAGCGGGAGCACACACAGGCTGGAGCGGTCTGTCTGATGCGCCAAGCAACCGGGAATTCTCCCAGCAAGGCTGCAGTGTTGAGCCGATTGGAGCAGCTGCTTCCATGAGCAGTTTCTATACCTGCCTTGGGGCCACCTGGTTAGGCCCTTGCTTACAGACTGGCTGGGCGCTGGGTGATTGGGCTTGGCCGCCTGGCCCTGCCACAGGGCTTACAGGGGGTTACCTCGGCTGGCTCGCCATCTCAGGTTCAGGGATGACTCATCGCAACACGAGCTGGGGGTCCCTACCCAGCAGCCCTCAGGTGGGCTATCTCGTGGCTTCCAGAGACAGACCCCCACAGAGCAGGGCACTGGCTGAAGCAAGACGAGCCAGACGCTCCAAGGCCCAAGTTACTGGCTTCAGTACAGGAGTTACTGGGTGACATTTTATGGCCTGTGTTGTACAGCTCAAACGAAATATTCACTTCTGGCCTACACATCTCGTAATCTAGCAATTAGAAAAGCCCCGGGGGATTTCCATTAGCATCCTGGTGTCAATCGATAGGAGAGACCACCAGACGCACAAGATTGTGAGTGTTTTGAGACAAGTTTGCACGTGTCTAGGACAATGGGGACTTGGTCCATGAGCCAGGCTCCTAGATGTGATAGCTACACACATAATACACCAGAACGTTTCCTATTCTCACATTCCGCAAGAGAGCCCCAGAAAATACGGGGGTGAGGCAAACTGGAGAGAGCCCGACCCGGCACATGTGGGTCAGTCTCTCTCTTTCCAGTGCTACCACCTCACGCCTCCCCTTTTATTGCTGCACGAGAAGATTTATTTCACTGTGCTGCAACCCGACATGACCGACTCATTCCCACAGAGACCGATGCTCATGCATGCCTGGTCTCCTAACCCTGGCACCGCTAAGGCCTGGGGATGTTAGCGAGTAGTCGACTAGTCAACCAACTGAGAAGCATAAGCTTATTGGGTAGTTGACTGGAGTACCGACTACTCGCTCCCCGCCCCTGCTCCCTCTATAAGAGCAGCATATTGGGTAGTTGACTGGAGTACCGACTACTCGCTCTCCACCCCCGCTCCCTCTATGAGAGCAGCGAGGGGAGGGGGAACAGGATCCAGGACTGGGGGGGAAGCCGGTTCCCCCCCAGCACCATCTCCATGGTGTCACCTGCCCCCCAATGCTACCTCTATCAGAGGCAGCAGGGGGGACGGAGGAGACTGCTCCAGCAGTAGTCCCTGTTCACAGCAGACAGCAGCTCTTACTCCGTTTAAAATGCAGAGCTGCAGCACAGGTGGCTCCTGGAGCTTGCACTGCTCAGTCCCGGCTCGAGCCAGCTGCTGGAGTTTCCGCTAGAATGGCTCTGCAGAGCGGTCCTTATCAACTAATCGTGTAGTCGATAATTGTATCGACTACACGATTAGCCAGATAACCACAATTTAACATCCTTAGCAAGGCCCGGGGACAATTATAATTAAAACTCAGTAACGCTCTTGCATTGAAAAGACAGCTGTCCCCAGACACACCACAGCCCCATTTCTTGGTGGGAGCGGAGACAAGGCAGGGGGGGCATCTGGGAAAGGAATTCCCTTTTCCTTCCACTTTTCCTGTGCACTATGCAACATGTCCTCCCCTTTCAGCACAGGCCAGATTGCCTGCAGAGCTGGAATTTCCACCACTGGAAATGTGCTTTCGTTCCACTCGGGAGAGAAAATTCAAATTTCCAACCTTCCTGGGAGACTGGATTTTTGAAAAAGTGGCATTTCCATTTTGATTTTTTTTTCTTCCATAGTACAATGTGTAATATAAAATGAAATGTGTTTTAAAACAAACAAAAAAAAATCAAAAGGTTCCATCTCAAAAGCATCAAAACAAGATTTTCCAGCCTTATGGGCAGGCGTCAGTTTGACTCCCTCCCCTCAAGTAAGCTTTCTGAAATCAACACGTTCCCCTGGAAAGATTCAATTTTGACCAAAGGACATTTTCTAATGGAAAAACGTTGTTAGAAAATTTGCCATGTGCTGTAATTCCCTTCCCAGCCCTCCAGGGCAACAGCGCTGAATGCATTAGGGGAGCGTGGTTGTCCTTGAAAACTGTCTCGGCACAAGAACACCCTGGTTTATATCCACGGATTGAACTGGAAGATGATAAACTTACCATAGGTCCGGCTGGCCCTGGAGAGCCCACTGCGCCATGTTCCCCCTAAAGCAGGATAAAGAAACACTTGAGATCCCGCACTCCAAGCAACTGCTCTCTTTTCCCTTCCCCCCTTTCCTACTGAGTGACACCAGTACCTGGAAAAAGCCACCGTTGGTTTGTGAACGTGGATGATGCAACCCAGACTGTTGCTAGCATGTAAGTGTAACCCACACCCGCTCCATGTGTCCTCTGCTCTACGCAAGCGGTGGCTGGGCTACAGAGAGGGACCAGGGTCTCTTAGAGTGGGCAGTAGAGACTCATGCTTTAAGATCCAGAAGTCCCAGCTACTATCTTCAAGGCATACACTCAGGGGCGTTAGATGTCCCAGCTACTATCTTCAAGGCATACACTTAGGGGCGTTAGATTAAAACCAGTTACTCTTGCTGGAAGGTGACAACGTAGCCCTACGTCATTTCCTAGTGTTCAGAACAACACACAAGGATCACAAAACGGATCGAGACAAAGCAGGCTGCTCCCCAAAACAGAGCCAGGAGCAGAGAGCAGGCTGCTGTCCCTCACTCTGAAGCACTTTGCAGCAGGTAGTGATGATGTTAAGGGGAAATAACTTCTGTTTTAATTGTACGCTTGGAATGTTGGTTTGATTTTAGCCAAACCGTCTAGTTAAATTTCTCAGCTACTGTGATTCATCAGCCGTTCTTTCAAATGTAGCAACGGGGAAAGTGTCATTTCTACCTCGCTGTTCTCAGTTTCTCTATTTGCTTGTAACAGGGTTTTCTTACAATCAGTATATTTGTGACTCAACTGAGTGACTGGTTAACCAGTGAGTGGCTGGCTCGCAGGGATCCACAGCAGAGGAAAAGTCTGCCTGGATTCCAACTGAGGATTTCTTCAAGCAAGTGGAGGGAAGATGGTCCAGACTCAGCCAATTGTGCAGATCTGGGGATCAGTAGGGATGTAAGGGACTAGTTGACTACCCGAGAAGCCTATACTTATTGGATAGTTGAACTGACTTCTCACGTACCCCCTCCCTCTCGACCCTGCCCATTCTGCCTCTGTATCAGAGGCAGGAAGGGGGGAAAAGCAGGAGCCGGTGCTGGGTGGAGCTGGCTTAAAAGCCAATCCCTAAAGTCATTGGAGACTGTCCACTCCAATGATAAATACCAGCAGTTGGGATTAAGATTAGGTAAGGATGCGGATTCTCTGCCTTAATACAAACATTTCAAAGTGACAATTCACAGCTAAGGGAGACTGCCTCTATCAGAGGCAGTGTGTGTGTGTGCGGGGGGAGGGGGGTGACGTAGTGGGGGTACCTTGCTAGGGCTGTGGCGACCTCTGCTGTCTGTGACTGGAGTCATTATGCAAAGGGGGCTCCAAACCTGTCTGACCAGCTACCCCCCATGGGGAGAAACAAAGGAAGGTGGAATGCCGCCCCTGGCTGGGGGGCAGGGCTGGAGGAGAGTTAGTTTTCTGTCTGGGAGCATGGAGGAAGCAGCCTCAGCAACAGGCTGGGGGGTTTAGAAGCCGGACCCCCCACCCCATATCAAGGGGGGCTGAGGCATCCTAGGCCTGCCCTGTAACCTAGTGACATCTGTGCTGTGCTGTATTCTGGAGAGGCAATAAACTCCCTCTGTTCTACTGGCTGGTGGAGTCTGTTCGTGCCCTTTCAGGGGTGCAGGAGGCGGGGGACCCCAACACACCGTCACAGGGGGGAGGGAGGCTACAGACAGGGCCTAACTCCCCACTGGGCACCCCCATACACAGGGGCTGCTGCTGGCTGGGCAGGCAGCCGAGCTCAGTCCCAGCTCATGCCAGCTGTGGGACCAAACCCTGCTGCAGCTCTGCATTTTAAAAGGCAGTAGGAGCTGGCAGCCTGCGCCCCAGCGACTGCGTTTTAAATTGCATAGCCACAACGGGGTTTGGTCCCGGGCCTGGCGCAAGCTGGAACTGAGCTGGGCTTCCCACCTGCCCGGCTCCTATACATTTTAAATGCAGAGCTGCCGCTCAGAGACACCGAGACTTGGGTGAACTACACTTAACTTTTTGGGGTCTCTCAGTTTCTCCTCACAGAGATTTGTGTGGACCGAACTGTTCAAATGCTACTTCTGGTTTTCTCTTTATTGATGTTTACTGTAGCTGTGACGTTACTGTCTGGGTTAAAAGCAGCTGTGTTATGTTGGAAAAATGTGATTATTTGTTTCTTCATCGTACGATTTCATAAAGTTATTTAGTTAAATTCATTTCCTTAGCTCCTTTTGGGACGTGTAGGTGGGGGGCAGGGGGCGGCTGACCCTGTGCAATCCTTGCTGAAAATCCTTAGAGACTGAACTCTGGGTCTCCAGCTACTTTTCTGTGGGGGTAGGGATTTTAAGGCCCGGGAGAAGGGCAATGGAGTGAGGTCTAGCCCCCTCAAGGCTCCACTGGCACGTGGAATCATAATGCCACTCAATTTGGCCCAACTCCCTCCAGTGATGGCCGAGGGTGGCTGGGCCAAATTCGAGTGGATGCTGCGGCTACAAAGTAATTCAGTCCTTCTGCCCAGAGAGGTGCCAGAGCTGTGTTAATGTCCAGCGTGGAGCGGCTCACCCCTTCCTCCGTGCCTATGACCAGACAGGTGTTGCAGCACTCAGGAAGTAAGCGGAGAAGAGAGCAAGTCACTCACCTGCGGCCCAGGCGGGCCCTGGAACCCTGAAGCACCCTTGATACCCATCATCCCCTAGGAAACAAGCCAATGTATTGAAGAGATTAGGCGCAGACATGTCAGGCACAGGGCCACTTCATCCCCCTCTTTAAAGTGTCAAACCCAAGAGAGTCCCACCGGAAGGCACTGAGAACATGGCCATCCAACAAGGGGTTCTTCCCTGAGGGGGAGGGTCTCCAAGCACCAAGAAGATCTCCACACATCTCCCCACCCCCAACAGGCAAGGAGCATCATCGTTTTGACAGATGGGTAAACTGAGGCACAGAACGATTGAGTGACTTTCCCAGGGCTATGTGAATCTGCATCAGAGCCAGGAATAGAACCTGTTTCGCCCTACTCCCCATCATGTGCTGTAACCACTAGAGACCACCCGTCCTCAACCAGTCACAAAAGGTATCAAAGGTCGGTACCATTCCAGCTTTGGGACAGTCTCTGCTCAGGAGAACAACGGGGCAGAATCGAGGGGCACCGGAGACTCAATCCTAGATGTGTAAGACGCTTGGCTCTTCTGAGGAAGGAGGGCAAAATGTGTGGGGGCGGCCACAGCTGGGGGAAGCTAAAGCAGGGGCTAGAATTGGAGACCCTTGGCTCCCTTTGTGGGGTTCAAGCCTCCCTGGGGTTTGCTTTGAGTGTGGGGTTCTAGCATCCCCCTGAACTCACAGCAAAACCGGCTGCTGGATCCACTAGGCAAGTGAGAGGTGAGGCAGAAACCCTGGGAGGCGAGCAGAGGATGAGAGGAGATGGTTTCTTTGTCAACTCACCTGAACTCCAGCAGGTCCCGAGGGGCCGTTTTGTCCTTTCACCCCCTGAAACAGCAAAAAGCGCAGCATAGAGGAGCTCAGGGAAACATCCCTTGTGCAGCAGAAAGCAGGGCTAAAGGGCGGGGGATCCCCTCGTGCCCGCTGGGATCCTGACCCGGATCAGAACTCTGTGAGCACTGACTCATCAGCACCCCCTTTTGCAGTGCGGGCAATGGGACTGCCGAGTCAGTCAGCTGTATGGCTCGATGCATTTCCGTTGTCTACCCACCAAGCTACTAGGCCTGTCCTGACTGGCTTCCAACCCGAACCAGCAGGTCTCTGCCCTTCTCTGATCTAGACTCTTTGTAGTGAAGGGGAAGCACGATCCCACCTACCCCTCCTTCTCCTGAAACGTGCTGAAGAGCGGGGAGAGCCAGCACCCGCTTTAGGAAGGAGGCAACGAGGCCCTGAAGGAGCCTGCACCGGGTAGGGATGTTAGACAGTGGTTATTTCAATAACTCCATAACCGCTATATTTCTTAGAGGTTACATGCTTACTCGATGCCTCCCGGGGGCAGCCAGTGAGCTCCTGGCTCTCTTCCTAGGGAACCTCCTGCCACCCGCGCTGCTGCCTCTGATACAGAGGCAGCAGAGAGGGGTGGCAGCAGCCCCCCATCTGAGTGGAGCCCAAGCTCCCCACAGACAGAGACTGCCTTGAGACCGAGCCAGCCTGCCGGCCTGAGTTTTAAATGCAGAGCACGCGGCGGAGGGGAAGAAGTTGTCATGATTAACCAGCGATTGCTTATCGGTTAAATAGTTAGCTGACTTGCCGGAAATATCCCTAGTACCAGGGCTGTGAGCTAATTCAGCACCCGGGGGACTGCACAGGTGAGACGGTGCCGAGGTTTCTGAGTGACGAGACCTGGGCAGAACTGGCTTCGTCTCAGCGAAAGGGGAGCAAAGCCACGTGTCCCCCTTAGGTCACAGGGGATGCTGGAAGGGTTGCTGTTGATGGCCAGTGCTCCACATGCAAGTGACTCTGAACTCCAGTAGTCAGCAGCATCTCTTGCCTGGGTCTCCTACCCCCTGGTCCCTGTGTCCAGGTTCAGAACATGTGAACTCACCTTTGCCCCCTTTTCTCCTTTTTCCCCAGGTGGTCCAGGGTCGCCCAAGAACCCCTGAAACAGGCACGTTGGAGACATGAGAACCATTGCAGAGCTATTAAGCAGCGGGGGGCCAATCAGCCTGCTCCTTCTCTGAGTGCTGGCAGCTTGAATGCAATTAACATGCCCAAACCTGGTCCATGTGAGAGCTCAGAAACTCCCTGGGCATGGATCTTTCACAGCCCCAAGAGATGTGAACACAACCTTAAAGGTGTCCCAGGACCCCTTATCATTTTAGCTACAGACTAACACAACTACCCCTCGGAGACTGAGAGATGTGGTTATTCTGACCTCATTTCCTTGTGTTGACCCATGTTCCCGCTAATCTTTTCTAGCCACATGTGGATTTTTTCCATCCATGTGGGGAATAATTTTGATGTGCACCACCAGCAGAAACAAAAACCTCGCTGTGGCGCTCTGCTAATAAGTTGGGTGGCATTTGAATCTTTCCTGAGTGGCCACTTAAGCACCCAGCTTACAGGGAACACTTGCATAGACCTGGCCTGAAAGAGGCTTTTATATGGGCATTTTCCATGCAAGCTGATCCATCCTAGCTGGCTCAGAGAAACTCAAACCACCAGGCTCAATCAGCCTCTGAAAACCACAATTTGGAAGAAATAACTCTCAGTAACATGGGTTTTGACTGTTTCAGATCAACCGAAACAGCCCAGGAATGAAATCTCACGTTGTTTCAGAATATGGGATCCCTGCTCCTCTACAACAAGGGACACTGCAGCCTACAATGTATCCTACGCAACTTCTGATCAACTCCCTGCCCTGCCCAAACACACAGGCACAGCAATGGCCAGAGAGGCGCTCCTGGCTCTCAGTACTGCTCTCGAGGGGGACGCTGCTCAGGTCACACATGGGCAACCGAGGAAAGAAACCAAGCAAAGCAGGAAACCCAGGGAAAGGGAGGAGGGGAAACGTGTTCGCATTCTGTAGTCAAGATGCATTGATAATTAGTTTATGCGTCATCATTCTGATAAATGATCAAATCAATTGTTTGTTACAGGTCGTTATGGAGACCAACAGTTTAATTACAAACATGGATTAAGGCCATCTGCAAACAGCTACTGATGGGTTTATAGCCTTCCAGAACACACATTACTCGTGTGACATGCATGTAACATCTGTTAACCCTTCGGAGAGAGGCTTTTAATGTCACGTGCTTGAAAAATTGAGCGGACAGGTGGAGAGAAGGGGACAGACACTCATGTAACACACACACACACACACACACACACACACACACACACACACACACACACACACACACACGAGACCTAAGCACGAAAGGCTGTAGGGCTTCAGATCCAAGAAGAACTTGTCATTTGCAGCATGATGTCTCTTCTCACGAGGGAGTGGTGGGGGCGGGGTGCAGAGCGGGCACAGGGTAAGAGAAGATACTAATTTGGAGTTCCACCCCACACACACACACACACACACACACACACACACACACACACACACACACACACGAGACCTAAGCACGAAAGGCTGTAGGGCTTCAGATCCAAGAAGAACTTGTCATTTGCAGCATGATGTCTCTTCTCACGAGGGAGTGGTGGGGGCGGGGTGCAGAGCGGGCACAGGGTAAGAGAAGATACTAATTTGGAGTTCCACCCCCTTGACTTACAGGATCGCCCTCCCCTTCCTGGCCTCCCTCTCCCCCCTCCCCCCCCCCCCCCCTCTCTCTCTCTCTCTCTCTCTCTCTCTCTCTCCCTCCTCCTACTGCCTCCCCCTCTCTCTCAGCTCTCCTTCACCTCCTGCCTCTCTCTCTGTCTCTCAACTCACCTGGTCTCCTGTCTCTCCATCTGGACCTTGGTCGCCCTTAAATCCCTGGGGGCCCTGGTGACAAGGGAGAAGGAACGGAGCACACAAAAGGTGAGTTTATCCTAGTGAAATGAGCTGAGCTCTCACATTGCTGTGGCTACACTCACCCGGCCACATTCAAGCCTGTTGTAAGTAGTGAAGCGCCAGTGGCTTCCCCTGAGTTGCTCCCGCTTGTATAGGCCAAGGGCCAGTTTCTGAATGACAAGGCAGGAGTTGGATGGGATCTCAGGAGGTCACCGAGTCCAACTCCTGCCCAAGGAAGAACCAACCCCAACCAAATCATCCCAGCCAGGGCTGTGTCAAACTGGGACTTGAACACCTCGAGGGATGGAGATTCCACCCCCTCCCTAGGGAACCCATCCCAGTGCTTCCCCACCCTCCTAGGGAAATAGTTTTTCCTAATATCCAACCTAGACCTCCCCCACTGCAACTTGAGCCCATTGCTCCTTGTTCTGCCATCTGCCTCCACTGAGAACAGCCTCTCTCCATCCTCTCTGGAACCCTCCTTTGGGTAGCTGGAGGCCGCTGTCAAATCCCCCCTCACTCTTCTCTTCTGCAGACTAAACAAGCCCAAATCCCTCAGCCTCACTTCCTAAATCCAGACTGCAGCCTCATCAGCAGGGCCAGATTAATGCTGAGGTGAACTAGGTGTGGCCACCACATTTATGGGGAGCCCACATGTGGCCCTGTGTGCCACATGGCAATGCCACTCACTCCCATTGGGCCCGGCCACCCCTGTTTCGGGGAGCAGCCCCAAGCAGCTGTCCGGATGGATTCATAGCATGGCCATTCCAGCTGTGCCCGTGTGCTGTACAGCTGTGTGTTGTTATTCACGTTGCCAAGCAGGGGCTCTGAAATGTTTGTCTGCCGAGGGCCCGCTGCCAGGTTCAGGCCTGGCCCATCTCTTCCCGCCTCCTTCCTGTGCTTCCAGATTCCCAACAGCCGGTGCTCCCAGTTCTAATCATTACAAGCAGCATCCAAAACACCACACAGGTTAATCGTGACAAAGCCTCAGGCCTCATGAGCCAAGGTGCTGTGTGAAGAGCTCACCTGGCGTTACTTTGTTGGCACTCGTTTCACATCTAACGCCTACCTTCCCTGAATGCTGAGCCCATGAAGAGGGGCCAGTTAGCCCTTCTGATCTCCATCAACTTTCTGAGGCTTTGCCACCACTATAGGTGCTGCACAGCTTTTCGGGCTCCCTCAATGAAAGTCTCCTCCATATTGCTATCCCTCTATAACCCACAACCTGCATTGAGCCTGGGCACAACTGCCTGCTACCTCCCCTGCTTTGACGTTGTAAGAACAGAAGAACGGCCATACGGGGTCAGACCAAAGGTCCATCGACTCCAGTATGCTGTCTGACAACAATGGCCAATGCCAGGTGCCCCAGAGGGAATGAACAGAACAGGGAATCTGACTAACAGAGGCTAGGGACATCATTCCTACACATCCTGGCTAATAGCCATTGATGGACCTAACCTCCATGAATCTATCTAGTTCTTTTTTTGAATCCTGTTAAAGTCCTGGTCATCATAACATCCTCTGGCAAGGAGTTCCACAGGTTGATTGCGTGCTGAGTGAAGAAAAACTTCCTTTTATTTGTTTTATACCTGCTACTTATTAATTTCATTTGGTGACCCTAGTTATGTTATGGGAACAAGTAAATAACCTTTCCTAATTCACTTTCACCATACCAGTCATGAGTTTGTAGACCTCTATCATATCCCCACTCTTTTCTAAAGGAAAAAGTCCCAGTCTTTTAAATCTCTCCTCATATGGCAGCCGTTCCAAACCCCTCAGCATTTTTGTTGCCCTTTTCTGAACTTTTCCAGTGACAAGAGATCTTTTTTGAGATAAGGTAACCACGTCTGTACGTCGTATGCAAGATGTGGGTGTTCCATGGATTTATACAGAGGCTTTCCTGCCCACTTTCTTTCTGACTTTCTGCCTTTTACCTCCACCAGTTTTTTAATCACTGTTCATCCACACTTCTCACAAGACCCTGAATCAAAGCCTGCGCTTTCCTGACAGAAGCCAGCATGCAAGGCTGAGTAAGGGGAAGGCTATTAGCACAAAGCTCCACAAAAGAAGTCAACAGAGCTTGTGAACTAGACAAGCGGATGGAATCCAGATTCTCTCTCAACTTTTTCCTTTCTCCTTCTGGTAAAAACAACCCAGGAAACTAAAAGCAGCGGTGCAGTGAAGCGTGCCAGGAGCTCAGGTGGCTCCAGAGACACTAACTATGCCCCACTGATCATTGACGCTGTTCCTCTTTACTCGTTACATGTGAACCTTTGGGCATTATTATCAGAGCAGTGCCCAGAGGTTCTAATTTTAGGCAGAATGGGCCCTTTCTTTTATTAAAGGAGGCCAATAAGCAACTCAGCGTCGGCTTGCTGGCTGCCTAAGTACCATCAGTGGGGACAGTGGACAGTGTCTTTACCTCTTTGGTGCAAACATCTCCCATTATATCCTGCTACAGCATCCAACGCTCTTTTGTTGGCTCTCTCCGCATGACTGCTAAGAGTTTTGACACCAATGGGCCCATAACCACTTCTAACGAAGGGCAAAATGATCCTGGTTCTCACCTGCTCTCCTGGTAACCCAGCTGGTCCAGGCTTTCCATCCATTCCAGGAAGCCCATCTGAGCCAGGGAAACCAGCACGTCCTAGCAAGCCCTGAAGTCCAGGCTCCCCCTGCAGAGAGAAGGAAGGTGGATCAATCAGAGCAGGGGTGGGCAAGATATGACTCACGGGCTGGATTCGGCCCACCAAGCATTTCAATCCAGCCTGCAGCTGCCCTACTAGGACCTTCAGGCATGGAGCAGCCCCACGCTGCTCAAAGCAGCTGGCTGCTTCATGTGGTTCTCTGCACTGCATGTGGGGGAAGGCTTCGCGCACTGCCCATGCCTCCAACACAATCTCTCAGTTCCTATTGGTCAGAAACCAGCGAATGGGAGCTGGGAGGCTGTGCTGGGCGTGGGAGCATCATGCGAAGCCTTCCTCCAGCACAGACAGTTACATAGAGCAGCCAGACACTTTTAGCCTGGGGCTGCAGCAGGCAGGGTCCTGCTGGGCTGCTAGCTAGGGGCTGCCTAGGTAAGCATCTCCTGGCCAGAGCCTGCACCTGCTGGCACCCCAACCCTGCCCACACCCCAATCCCCTGCCCCAGGTCACCACCCAAACCCTCTGCAACCCCTCTCCTCCTGCCCCAGGTCAAAAAATCCCTCCCAGGGCCTGGACCCCTCCTACACCCCTTCCCCAGGCCGACATCTTCTTCTGCATCCATATCCCCTCCAGGACTCTGCACCCCAATCTCCTGCCCCAGGTCACAATCCCCTCCTTCACCCAAACCCCCTCTCCTGCTCCCCACTCCTCTACCCCATGTTCTCTTCTGCACCCAATCTCCATCCAAAACCCTGAACCCCCGTAGAAAAGAGTGGGCCCCGCCCTGGAATAAGAATCTACAGAGCAACACTGCAAATGAAGCACTCTCTTTCACTCCGGCCTTGTCATTCAGCTCTGCCTTGGGCTGCAGTAAAAAGATTTGTGCGTGGAGGGAGGAAATTGGCAACATCCAAATAGGTGAAGAGTTTTATTTCCACTCTAAACCCAGTTAAGAGCCAAGGGGTAGAAGGGAACGATGGAAGGGAAAGTGCAGAAAGATGAATCCAAATCCAGGTCATTGTGACCCAGCCAGCCAGCCCACGAAAGTCTGATTCCTTGGCTACACGACAAGAAACGAAACACAGGCAGGAGAAAAGGGAAGTGAATCAAGAGGACATCAGGAGAAGGCCAAGTAAAGGCCTTGTACGACTGTCTCCTCCCTAACATTGGCACACTGCTGACTGGGCTCAGAGGCTCCTCGCTAGGTACGCAGTAGGGATGCTAAAATTCATTTCATATGGTAACTGTGTGTCCGCTAGAGATAGCGATGACATGGTTACACACGCTGCAGGTTCTGCAGTAGAAAGCTTTATACGTTAGTGTATAGTGCAGAACCTGCAGCAACGCCCTTCCCCGAATGGCCCTGTCGCAGCGAAGCCACCTCTCCGGGAGCTGGCTGAGTGTAATCCACACCATTAACCAAAATGTATCAGCTTAACGGTTAGTTGGTTATACTCTGATATCCCTAGTTTGCAGCAGCTTGAACAGATACAAAGACCTGGTGACTTGCGGTGGCTGCTTTTGCAGAGCCAAGAGCAGTTATAATCAGGATGGGTGTAACAGTAGCACTTAGGGGCCCAAACTGAGACCACAGCCACGTTGTTCTGTAGGAAAACACCCAACGAAGGTCCCTGCCTCACAGAGCTGACTCTCCAAACAGACACAATGTCAGCGGCAGAGCGATGCACCTGGCACGGATCAAGCCACCCACCCGATTCCCCCCCAGCCCTCCCCCTCTTCCCGGAGCTTGCCCGGGACCACAAGAGGTGGGCACCCGCCTGGGCTAGTGCGGACATCGTGGACCTCGTCCACGACCTCCGCACTAGGCACAGGAAAGTGGCCGTCTAGGGCAGGAGAGCTGCCAGCCTGGCCACCCAGGAGCAGGTGTGCATGAAAATCAAGGTGGTCCACTGAGACCCCCAACCCTGAGCCCTAAGCTTACAATGGCTGTCCTGGGTCAGACCAAAGGTCCATCTAGCCCAGTAGCCTGTCTGCC